ATACTTATACTAATACTTAATCAAACAACGAAAAAATCCAGTAACATATGAGACAAACAATTACAATGAACAATGTCACAGAATGTTAACATCAATATGAAGCATAGTAGAGACATAATATCTAGTGGCTTGTTAACTTATTTATGCTATTTAAACAAATTTTTCAGTTCTTTTCCTAAATGCTCTTTTTTATGATAATTGTCAGGATACTGCTGTGACTTTCTTTCTTCTGTTCCATACTGATAACACAAATCAAGATTAGTTTGTGCCAGAGCATTTCCTTGTTCTGCTGATTTTCTATACCATTCAATTGCCTTTTGAATATTTTTTTCAACACCCTTCCCATTTTGATAACAACAACCAAGATTACATTGTGCCTGAGGATTTCCTTGTTCAGCAGCTTTTTGATACCATTGAACTGCCTTTTGTTCATCTTTTCTCACTCCAGTTCCATGCTGGTAGCACCAACCAAGGTTACATTGTCCTTGAGCATTTCCTTGCTCAGCTGCCTTTTTATACCATTTAACAACTTTTTGAATATTTAGGTAAATGTCTCCCCTCTGACTTAATGCCCACGCATTGTTTGGTTCAATCTCTAACGATTTGCTGAAATCATTCAGTGAATCGTCATATTGTTCTAAATCTACATAGACACTTCCCCTTTCTCTCAATGCCCATACATCATTTGGTTCAATCTCTAATGATTTGTTGAGATCAATGAGCGAATTGTCATACTGTCTCAGATTTCGGTAGACACTTCCTCTTCGACTCAACGCCCATACATTGTTTGGTTCAATCTCTAACGATTTGTTGAAATCAATTAATGAATTGCCATATTGTTTTAAATTCAGGTAAACACATCCCCTTTGACTCAATACCCAGGCATTGTTTGGTTCTATCTCTAATGATCTGTCGAAATCAATTAATGAATTGCCATATTGTTTTAGATTTCGATAGACACATCCCCTAAGACTCAATGCCCATGCATTGTTTGGTTCAATCTCTAACGATTTGTTGAGATCAATGAGTGAATTGTCGTATTGTTTTAGATCTAGATAGGCTCCTCCTCTTTCTCTCAACGCCCACACATTGTTTGGTTCAAACTCTAACGATTTGTTGAAATCATCAATTGAATTGCCATACTGTTTTAGATCTAGATAGACCCCTCCCCTTTCTCTCAACGCCCAAGCACCGTTCGGTTTAATCTCTAACGATTTGTTGAGATCAATGAGCGAATTGTCGTATTGTTTTAGATTTCGATAGACGCTTCCTCTTCGACTCAACGCCCATGCATTGTTCGGTTCAATCTCTAACGATTTGTTGAGATCAATCAATGAATTGCTGTACTGTTCTAAATTTCGGTAGACACCTCCCCTTCGACTCAATGCCCACGCATCATTTGGTTCAATCTCTAACGATTTGTTGAGATCAATGAGTGAATTGTTGTATTGTTTTAGATTTCGATAGACGCTTCCTCTTCGACTCAATGCCCATGCATTGTTCGGTTCAATCTCTAACGATTTGTTTAGATCAGTGAGTGAATTGTCGTATAATTTTAGATTTCGATAGACACCTCCTCTTCGACTCAATGCCCACGCGTTTTTTGGTTCAATCTCTAACGATTTGTTAAGATCTATTAGTGAGTTGTCATATTGTTTTAGATTTAGGTAGATACCTCCTCTTCGACTCAACGCCCACGCATCATTTGGTTCAATCTCTAACAATCTGTTGAAATCATCAATTGACTTGTCATATTGTTTTAGATCCAGATAAGTCCCTCCCCTTTCTCTCAATGTCAACACATCGTTTGGTTCAACCTTCAATGACTTGTTAAGATTGTCCATCTGATGACAACAATTCAATCTCATATAAATGTCAACACATAATGGTCGCTTATTGGGATCTTCATCCCAACAATCTGAATACAATCTAATATATTCTTCAAGTGTTCCAGGAAATGGGGGATCACGAAAGCCCTCAAGCCTATACATAATAATATCAAAAGCTTCAGTACGTCCTCCGCATGGAAGTTGTCCACTCGATATTTCCCAAAGTATTACGCCGAGGCTAAATATATCGGATTTTTTTCCACGTTGATACGATTTGTCCTTCAAGCATATCGGATCCTTGTATGCTGGAGTGCCATCTCCATGTGATTTGGACATTGCTTTTTTCAACACACTTGATAACCCGAAATCGGTTATCTTTGCAATACCCGATTTGATAAGAATGTTACTCGATGACTAAAAACAGACGCATGTATTAGTATTAGCTTAAGACATGAGTTAAACAATACAATCGAGATGTATGCGATAGATACCAAATCCTTGTGAATAATATCAAGACTATGTAAATGCTTTAGTCCATTGGTAACTTCCAAGCCCAGCTTGTATTTGTCTTCCCAAGTCAAGCTTTTAAAGTTTTTCCTTAAGTACTCACACAAACTTCCACTGTCAGCGAGTTCAAACATCATATGATAATTCTCATATTTGTCTGTATGTGTTGAAAATGCGATAGCATTGGCAAGCTGGTAACAAGTAAATAAATTGCACTTTGTCAACGTACCTTTGTATAGGCCCAGAAAACGGACTATGTTAGAGTGATTGTTCGCTCTGTTGTGATGTTTTAGCTAACGTATCAGTATGATATTTATTCAAAATTAGTTCGATATACAAATAGATGTGTGCGACAAGCATAACGGACGGTGATAACAACCTCTTTAACGAATTGTTGATGCAAATCTTCACAATCTCTGTGCCTGTCTGGAGACAAAATCTTTACTGCAACAGTAGTGTCGGAGAAAACGTTGGCAATGGCGTTTATCGTTGCCTTGTACACCACTCCAAATGCTCCATGACCAATATACAGAGGGTCCAGTTCTAAGTCGTTTTCTGAACAGCAATAGATTGAACCTTCATGAATGCTTGTCTCTAGCCACTCTTTATAAGATGTTTGAGACATTTGTCAATCGTAATGTCAAGCCCAAATTCAAACGATGACGTATTTCTTCCGTAATCTCCGCTCAGTGATACAAACATCTCCAAAATGTAACCACTGCGCGACGGATGTCATTGACCAAACAAACAATCGAAAAAATCCTGCCACGTATTGCACAATAAATTTCCTGATTGATCAAAATGATAGTTAAATTTTAAGCAGTCGTAGTTTTCCTTAGTGGATACTATCTTTACCAAGAAAATCGGTTTATAAATTCTTACAACATTCTTTGCAAATTAGAGTAAGTTTTCATACTTTAATAAAATCCGTGGGTAGTAAATACAATTCCATTTATTTACTCATTTATTCCCCGGCTGGTGAGAATCCGATATAGTATTTTGAGAGTAGTTAATATTAAGAATTATTTGTTATTGTTTAATCGGTAGAAGATTCCATCAATAATTGTCTTGATAATAAATAAAGACGAAGAATAAAGTCCTTAAATTAGCTATTGTACAAATTATTCTAGTACGCGAGAAAAGCTAATTGTAGACGCACAATAAACCTTTTTTGCCAGAGTCATGGCCGAAAAAGTTGATGAGAAATCTCGTTGTCTGTGTCTTTACTATCATTATAAACTTTTCAGGTTACTTGTTAGTATTGTTGAATTTGTTTAGTGAGCTGTATAGCAGGCCTTTTTTCAGATGTACGGGGACAATGCGTAGTTTGTAGAGGCTGTAAATAGTGTGTCTGGAGCGATGTGTATGTCAACTCTATAATATCTATTTCAATTGGCTCTCAATAATATACTATAGAATTTTGCAGAGATGAAAGCAAACCAATTATATGTCCACACTGATACTAACACTTAATTTCGCTTTACCCTCACAATCACGTATGTAAAATAACTAATCAATACGTTCACATTATCTCTGCGATTATACAGCGTATGATTGTGAGCCGTACTGCTTGGTATGTTTACTGTTAATGATGTATTTTCCTTGCTAATTCGGCCGCTTTGAAAACTAATAAAACAAATCGATCTTGCGCACGTCCATGGTTACACTTGCGTCATACTGCAAAAAGTAGAGCGATTGTCATTGTAAATAAAATCGGATGTAATGTGTAAGATAAGTAAGTTATGAGTGTCTTTAAATATTGCGAGAATAAAGTACCTCGGTGCTCTAACAAAAATTATTCTTTCCCACGTTTATCGCAAATCATGCTAATTAATCATAATAGCAAGCTACCCTTAACATCGAATAACGGCGCAAGATGTTTGACGTATTCGAGGTGTGAGATGACATAGATAAATTAATAATCTCTGATTAATGTTATTGTTCAGTTATCAGTTAATCTCGCAGATCACAATATAAACTCCAGGGAATATGAGTAACACGGGGTTACGAGGGCAGTATTTTACGTAATAGTCTGTGTAACGTGCATGCGATCTTATTGTTGTTACTATATATGGATTGACTTCACAGGACGTTGTGGCTTATGTGCTTTCTTATTATTGACGCAATTTTGATTTTGGGATAGATGTTCATACAACACAACTAAAATATTTCTAATCTCGAAAGTCCAGAATGAAATGATATTAAGGGGTCATGATAGACGAAACTCTCATTACATGTGAAAATAAGCGAAAAGAAAGGTTATTTTGGAATATGCATCATGAAGATCGTGAAACCTTCCATTGAAAGCAGCTAAGCTGTCAATAGTTTACTAATAGGGATGCCACATACCTGAAAAAAGCGTTCGAGTAACGAGGCATGCAGGTTTTACAAGCGGACAAATCATGTTTGCGTTGAAAAGAGCGTGAATATAGGGAGTGAAATTCCGTTTATAAAGAAACAATACCTATTTCCATTCAGTTTGTTACTTGATACTTGCATCTTGGTAAGTAAAAAAAATAATTGTTTAATGTATGTCTGTTTACTATTGCCGATGTATTCATATCCTCAATCTTAACTGCATTTAACCCTCGCCTCCCGTTTAATTGTGACAACGAAACTCTCCTCAAACTTAGTTTCACGTTCTTGATTTTAACGACATCCAAAATGAAGCACAAGCCATCGTTGTTCGAAAAAATCCCCCACGAGAATCGCGTCCATCTCGAAGATGTGGAATCCACTCCCATTCATCACAATGCCAACGTCACGACCAATACCACCCTCCTTCCTTCCTTCACCTACTTGGTGTATCTTCATAGATCAGTGAGGAATCTGCTCTTCACTCTGATATTCGACTGGAACATGGTCTTTATACATCCAGTGAATTTCTTCATCCTTGTGTCGATATTTCCGGCGTTTATGATTGGATTGGTTGTGATTGGATTGTCTTTACATCTTGGGTATTCGTTGGGTATGGGCAAAGCAATCAAGAAGATTAGTAACAAATGGGGAGGCGGTTTATCTCCAGTCAATTGGTGTAAGTATAACTGTCAAGCGACTCGATATGGGTGTGTTGAGATTTCAGGCCAAACCTGTGCAAAAAACAAACTAATAAACAAAACTTTTTGATCTTTCATAGGGGATCCACGAATATTCTCAGATGCGGTATCGCAAATAGTTGCCAACGCTATTCAAGCTATGGACGGACCTCAATACGTATCCCAGGATACAGTGCCCGGGACCAAGTTGCCGACCGTTCAGCCCAAGACCTTCAATATCGACATCGCAGAGTTTCTCCTCTTTGTGTCTGCCCTGATCTACGAAAGAGACGATAATATCGTACACGACGCCCATGAACAAATGAAATCATTTTCACTTAATCCGGTCCATACACCAGAGTCCTACCAAGAAATAAATCTAAAACTGCGCGCCGCGGAAAAGTTTATTCACGATCAAGCAGCTAAATGGGGACTGCAATTCACTTCCCTGTCAGAACTGAACAGTCTCGGTGGGCCGTTTGCTGGAATGTTTTGGAGTTTGCAACACAACTTCATCGTCGTAGCATTCAAAGGTACCACGCCAACCAATGTAGAGGATTTCCTTGTCGATGCCTTGTTCCAGCGGTGTGATGCTCGCCCTTTCTTGTTCGGTGACGTACACGAAGGATTCTATACCTCTTTGTTCCCTGAATCGCATGCTTCGGCCAGGTCGAATTTGGCTAGTCCATACTTTACCATCATGAAAGGAATTAGGGCCAAGGCATTGGAGATTAAGCAGGCAACGGCCCCGAACAAGGCTCCGGTCAATATTTGGATTACTGGGCATTCGTTGGGAGCTGGGTTGGCAACATTGTTCTACTCTAGACTGTTGTTGTCTCCTGAAGATTTGGGTCCAAATGCTATATTAAGGTATGAACTATGTAATTAATATCGCAATCACCATTTCATCGGTTTTCTTGACACTGACTTTTGACAATTTTTTTTTACATTAAACAGAGATGCTTATCTATTTGGTACGCCTGCAGTAGGCGATTCCGACTTTGCCGCACAATTCGCCGCCCACAGCAGCCGCCCACACGATCGTCATAACACTCTTTGGCGCATAATCGATGACATTGACATTATCACCAAACTTCCCCCTGGTTTCAATAATCCGTATGTGAGCCGGTACATAAGCAAGAACAACATTCTCAACTATGCTCATGTCGGTGAAGGTATTCGATTTTTCCAGGATGGACGCTTGCCTGAAGCCACCAAAAATCTCTTCAGTTCCGGCAACGAAGCGGTGATCGTTGAAAAGAATTCGAACTTTGCACTGAAAGATTTGTTTACGTTTAACAGTTTGTGGAATGGATTTAAAGTGCAGAATAATGACAACGCCGATGAGGCGGACGATGAAGATCATGTTAAGATGAGACTGAGAAATGTCAGGAATGCTACAAAAGGGATGCCGTTCGTGCACAAGAAAGGCAGTCCATTGATTTGGATTGAGAAGTTGTTGCCGGTTTTCTTTAGGAACCATCTTCCTGCGAGGTATTTCCAGGTGATGCAGAGAGCAAGAGTGTATTTTGAAGAGGATACGAAAGGATCTCAAGCCTTGAAAAACTGATATGTTAACGAATTAATTGTGTTACGAATGTTGGTAAAAATTCGATGTTAAATATTAAATCATTAAAGTATATATGTTTGTATATGCTATTATCATGTGATATTCGTTTACATAGCAATATGCTTGCTTTACTCCATGTAACGACAACGTATACTTCTAGCTTGCACAGATCGAAGTAGATAGTAATCTAAGGACCATACACGTGACTATACGTACTGTCAGATCGGGACCAAGTTAAAACGGATGCTTTTCCGTGCATAACCTAGCTTGACACATTTCCCACGCTCGAATGAGTATACTACTGCCGAATATAAATAAAACATCATCTCGGCCGCCTATTGTTATCACCTGATCTCATTACCACCATAGATGTTCCAACTTTTACTATTCCCCAACCAACGTAGCTTCTTCTATTGTATTACAACTAGCTCACTTACCCATGATCATTGAACATACCAGCATAAATACCGAACCATCAGCATGTAGCAGGGTTTGTACTCACTCTAACATTTTTATCGTAGATACTGACTGCCGTACTTAAAAGTTGAACAAGTTTACAAGTTTACACCAACACCTGAAACTTCTCTTATTGATTAACGATGCCTTAATTCAACTGACAAGATACACACGTGACATACTACTGAATTTTTACAATAGTAACTACTCGTTGACTTCATCGAGATGATGGATCTTGCACGCGTTAATGTCAACACAGAAAGCTCACCAAGCGATTGAGTTGCCCAAGATCTCGTAATCTGGCTTGATGAAAATAAAGCTGTTTAAGTTCAAGTTGAATAATTTGTTTTATTATAATATATGGTTCGCTATTACAAACGCATCGGCTATAGTTATTAATATTTTTTTTAAAAATTTTCTTTTTGCTTACTATCAATTAATATTAATAAATTAAATATCAAAATACTGCATAGTATAAACACTACGATGAGCGATGCTTAAATAAGACAATGGGTAGATAAGAAGACTTATTGCTTTTGGTCGGCATGCCAAGCAGCAAACTCACCATTCATCTCTAACTAGCTTCAGGGACAGATCCTTCTCAAGTAACTAAGTAATCACCGAATCGGTCCCTCAAACTCGATCCACAGCTCCACCAGAGTCCCATTGGATTCGATCACCCAGCATACCCACCAGTGGGAAAGAAAAAGGGGAAGAGAAGAAAAAGGAGAAAAAATAGAGTTAGCTTATAACGTGAAAGCAATGCGATACTTACCAATACTTACCGAAAACCTTCTCCCCGTCATCTAAAAGCTGTGTAAAGGAAAAAAAAAAAAGGAAAGGAAAAAAGGAGATGTCTGAGAGTGTTCCAGGCATCCCCCGTGACACACTCAACAGACCCAGCCAGGATCACTTCACCGCAGGCGAGCACTGGTGAAGGGGTGAGCA